TAAACAAAATATCTTATGACAAAATGTCAAGAATTTTGTGCATGGTGAATTTTCCAAAAATCTTTTTGAATAAAAATTTTTATAAATTTCATCAAAATATTAGAGAATTTATAGAATACGAAAATAATAATAATACTAATTTCACAACAAAAAATATTTTTATAAATAAATTTTTGGAAATTAAATTTAAATATAAAGAAAACTATATCGACAAAATTAAATGATAATACATGTTTAATTGGTATCATTTTTTAAATAGATGACATGAGGTACTAATGCATTTCTCACTCATAACCATACTCTTGAACCTAATCTTAATTTTGTAGACCAAAACGTTTTTTAGTAAATTTTAATTAATTTTAAGATTTTTATTAAAAATAATATTATTTTTTAATGATCAATCACACCCTTATAAAAAAAAAAAGATTTATGGTAACTTCGAAAATTTTCATCTAAGTTTAGCGATCGAATCCTCTTGAATGAAAAATCATTATGCCAGAATTCATTTGAGATATGTACATATTACTTCTAGGATATGTACATAATCTTTATATGATATGTGTATAATGATTATATGATATAATCTTTATATAATATGTATATAATGATTATATGATATGTACATAATAATAATTATAAAATATAAGTACACGTATATCTATTATAATATCAAAATCCTAAATGATCAAGCTCTACATTCAAGTCATAATTGACCAAATTAAAAATATGAAACCAATTTTATCTCAATCATTAATCCCTTTTAACTCTACCCGTTTTCATTTTAATTAAGCTTTATCTTTAACAGAGCTGCAGCCCACCAACTCCATTGCCTAGTTTTGGCTTATGATGAATGGTCGATTTCGGTTTACAATGTATATATAAGCAATTAAAGCCTAGTTAAAGCCAGTTTTTATTTTATTTTATTATTATTAGTTTTTTTGTACTTTACAATGTATATATCTGCAGTTGCATCATCGTTAGTGAGAAGAAAAACACTACTTCAATGGAATCAATTGCTCAATGATGAATACATTTACTTGGTGTACGTCCTGAAAATCATAACATCTTAGTTTTTCAACCTATTACAATCATTTCAAAAAATACCCACATTTCAAACAATACCCACTATAAAATACCCAAAACTAGAAATCTCATTGCTGATCAATCACAAGGGGCATTTACAAATTGAAGACTCGGTCTTCAGTCAGAGGAGGCCAGAGATCATACTGTTAATTTTCCCATAACTATAAAAAGCCAAAGAAAATGTTTGGGGGAGAAAGAAAAAATGTTAGCACGTGAAAGCTCCAAGATAAAAACCAAAAGAAATTCAGTGCAATTTGCCATGCATTACAAGCATTCTACAAGTTAAATGATACCCTTCAATTTGATAAAAAGATTTAACTCCTTATACCATAAAAAAAATGAATAGAAAATGCTTTTGCCTCTTAGGTTTTGGCTTAATCTTAACACCTATTCTCAGGTTAGGAATGTCAATGCATAGAGTATAAGTAGATTAGAGTATTTTTCATTCATATCTTTAAATTTTTATATTATACCCATTTTCATATTCATACTCAATAAGTATTTTAAATTTATCTTTATTTTTATTCTCGTGGATATTTAATAGATATAAATAATCTTCATGCCATAACTTAAAAAAAAAACTAAAACTAAAAATTAAATTTTTTTAGCTTTTTTTATTTTTATCTTGTATATTTAAATATTTTTTTATAAATATATATTAATATATATTTTTTCAATAAAAATATATTAATTTTAATTTAATATAAAATAATAATTTATATTATTTAATAAAAAATTTATATTTTAAATATATATAAATATATATGTAAATTACAGGTACGAAATAAGTGATATATTATTTATTTTCATTATCGCACTTAATAAAATTTAAAATCATATCCATAACTATCTTTATACTCATAATATAATATATATCCATATTTTTGTCTCCATTGAAATAAAAAAATCAAATTTTCAATTAAATATGAATAAGATTAACATGCCTACTCCAAGCTTGTCAAAAGCTCATTTTCATGGCCACTCATCTTGGCCATATGATTGTGTGGCATCAAGGAAGGTTGACTCAAATGATGCTACTGCTATATATGAAAGATGACTTAAGATCAAACAACCCTCCATTTGAACCTGGTAAAAACCCACCTGTCAAACCTGAATTATTCATCAACTCCACAGTCCAAACCCACTCTTATACTATTTTCTTGCAGGAAAACAAACTTAAAGTTCCAATATGTATCAAGTACTTGAATATTTAATCAAACAAAAAACCAACTTCACTGACCCCAATTCAAGTAGTTATAGTCAGTCAAACAAAGTTTCTTTCTCCAGTGAAAAACACAAACCAACGGGAAAAAACCCATAAAATACCTAAAATTTTTTTAAATTTCCTTCTTCTTACTAAAATAGAAGGGTAACTAGGAAACTAAGAAAACAACTGTTATAAGCAACTATCATATCAATATCCCCGGAATCCTAAAAAGCTTTAAAATCCCATATCTAATCACAGCCAAATTCAGTAAAGATCCATAAAACCAATTAAAATCCTCAATAAGATGCAAAAAGAGAAACTTTTAACCTTTCCTTGTACTGTAATAATCATGAGAAAGCTAAAAAAAAACTTAAAAAATGGTTTTAATATCTTATTGAAAAAGAAGAGTTCATGAAAGAATTACCTTTGGTAAATCGTCAATGGAGAAATTTCTCAACAAGGTAAGAGTTTTTGGTCTGAAAAAGAGAGATCTAAGTCATGTTTTCTTGGAGGAGAAGAAGGGGTTGGGTTTTTAGAGAGTGAAAGAGAATCAAAAGGAATGGGTCTGAGAGTGGAGATTGGGTGTATTTGGAAGAAGAAGAAAGAAGTTTTTTTTCTTTGTTTTTTGAAATAGAAATTTGTTCATTCATTGATGGATAAATTTGGATTACAAATATTAGGAGGAAACTCACATATCCATTGCCTCTGCTCCCTTACCTGAAAGGAAACCTTAGCAAGACAATGTGCTAAACCAGTAGCATTTCTACTCACGTGTTTGAAAGAGCACTTCCTGAAGCTAGTTGTTGCCATTCTTATGTCTTGAATCAAATTAAAGCCAGCAAAGAACGAATTAGTCGCCTGAACAATTTCCTTTATAGCCATCAAGGAATCACTCTCCACTGTTACACTTTCTATCCCCTGTTCCAGAGCAGTCTATAACCCCAATTAAATAGCACATATTTTTTACATTAAGGGACTGTTGACTCTAGCTTCTTTAGATACAGCAGAAAGTAATATCATCCCAATAGTGTCCCTGTACGTATCACGTGATCATCACTTTCTCCCCTCAAAACGGATATGCAGTGTCAATGTTTTTATATCTTAATGACTTTTTTTTCATGTCCCAATTTAAGATTGGAATATCCTGCCGACTCTTCCTTACAGCATTTGGCACGACATTATCTCTCATTAAATCTCGTAACACTTTTATCACGGAGGTTAATCACTCTATTTAACCCCTCAAGATATTTGATATGAATCGAATGATCAAAGACCTGCTCTGATATCAATTGTGACGTAACCATTACTTTCTCCTCTCAAAATCAGCTTATTAAAATGTACAGCGCCAACATTTTTATAGCCCAACGACCTCTTTACGTGCAAAGTAAGATTGGAATACCTGCCTATTTCCCTTGGAGCGCTTGGCGTGATACCTACACATCGTTCTCAAACCAGCTTCCTTTGAGGATCCTACAAACACTGCGTCCACATTAAGCTTTAGTTCCTCATTCCCAAGAGGTTGCCTAAGCTCTTGCGGGGTGTTTGTAATAACAGCTTCCTACTGAATTTCCTGCCCCATCCTTTCTTCCCCCATACGTCGTGCCATTCCCCACAGATTTCTAGCCATTAAACATTTCCGTCGGTGAAAGCACATGTTCATGTTAAACCATAATGTCCTGAGGCAAAGCATGAATATCTCCGATGGAACATTCTGTTTTATGCTCATGAAGGCCTGTAGCCAAAAGTCTTTTGGTTTATCGCACAAAAGCATTTCTCAAATTGTCAAATTCAGTTTAGACCATAGTTCCTACTCAAGAAGCAGTTAACAAAAATATGGAACAAGGATTCCCATTGTAACCACACACAACACATTGGTTATCTAAATGCATTTCTCTCTTATTCAGCTGACTTTTGGTTGGTAGAAAGTCATATATAAGTTTCCAAAGAAAGATTTTAACCTTCGGTGGCATGTTAGCTATCCATAACAGTTTCCAAACCGGGTGTCTTTGCTGTCGATCTGGACCTCTTCTTCTTAGCACCTCCCTCGCTCGAAAATAGGTCGACTTGACAATAAAATTCCCAAGGATGGTATCATTCTAAATAAGAGTGTCCTTAGTGTTATATTTGCTCAATGGTATGCTAAATATTTTTTCAGCATCATTAGAACAAAATAGCTCATTTACTGTCTCTGTCTACTACCTTTTTGAATCTTGGTCAATTAACAAAGCCACCTTCATTGGCATAGGGTGTTGGTGCCCTGGTAGATCAACTTTATAGTTTGGTTGTTTGTCCACCCATATGTCTTGCCAGATGTCCACACTCGTCCAATTTCCAATCCTCCATCTTGTTCCTTTGAGCAAAACTTCTTTGCTCGCAAGAAAGCTACTTTAGAGATATGAAGGAGAGGCACCTCTTTTGGCCTTTAGAAATGATCTTTCAGAAAAGTACTTTGCCTTCAATACTCTATAGCACGGAGAGTCTTCATTTTGGACCAGCCTCCATCCTTGTTTAGCTAATAAAGCCAAGTGAAAAGCCTCCAGATCATGGAACCCAAGTCTACCATCCAGTTTGGAATAGCACATTGAATCCCAATTGCTCCAATGAATCTCTCTATTCTCCTCAGTAGAGGCCCACCAGAATGTTGCCGTTAAAGACGTGAGCTGATTGGTGAAGCTCCTTGATAGTTTGAAACAAGACATCGGGCAACCGCTTAAATGAAAACAACCCTCTCAGCTTGCGATAGAATCCTTCCACGCCACCCTTGAATGCTAGACCATACCCGTTGTTTTATGGGACCAAGACAGCCGCATTTCTCTCTTCCAAAGGCAATTGGCAATCCCAGGTAAGAGCTATCTTCCATTGTTCTATAGATACCTATAGTATCCATTAATTTGGTCTTGAATTTTGGCTTTGTATTGGCATTGAAAAGTTTAATAACTTGCCCAAAGGCAGCTTCCTTTTCTTTCACCTCAATGGATAAAATACTATCATCCGCGAATAGGATATGAGAAACCCGGGTTTCCAATTTTCGGATTGCAACACCTCTCATCCTCATTTTGATCTCACCCTTATAAAGGTGGCTAGACAAACCTTCAACACATAGGAGAAATAGGTATGATGAAAGCGGATCGCCTTGTTTAAATCCTCTGGTTGGATTAATCCTACTTCATTGTTGACCGTTAATCATTACCAAATAAGTGACTGTATGTACACACGCCATGATCGAAACGATACATCTTTCAAAGAAACCCATACTCCTCATTATTTCCTCGAGATATAGCCACTCCACCCTGTCGTATGCTTTGCTCATATCCAATTTTATCGCCATGTGACCTTCTCGACCCTTTCTTTTGTTTCTCATAAAATGTATGGTTTCAAAAGCCACGATTGCTTTGTCAAAGATAGATCGACCGGGCACAAAAGCACTTTGATTTTTGATTATGACCCTTGGTAGCACATTCTTCAATCTATTCGCCAGCACTTTTGAGACTATCTTATAGATCACATTACATAGGCTGATAGATCTGAAATCCTTAACCCAACTTGGGTTCTTAATCTTGGGTATCGACACCAAATTTGTATGGTTAATCCCCCGAAGCACTAGATTGTTATTAAGCCCTGAAAGGATGAAGCTTGAAATATCCTTCCTCATTATCGGCCATTCTTCTAGAAAAACAAGGTTGTCATGTCGTCTAGACCAGGCGCCTTGCCCGAGTTCATCTGGTTCAAAACTTCAGTTACCTCGTATTCTTGAAATTCCCCATTCAATACACTGTTCATATCCACCGTAACTCTAGTTCCCACCACGTCACAGAAGCTATTCCTCGACTCCTTGTTTTATAAATCATCTCAAAATATTGCAAAAAAGTAGCTTCGATCTCCTCTTTCTTGTCTCGCCACTGCCAAGCCTCATCCTAGATTCTCAAAATTGTATTATTTCTTCTCTTTCTTGATGCCACACAACAGAAGTACCTAGTGTTTCTATCACCATCTTTTAGCCACAATTCTTTAAAAGGTTACATTAGTAGATCATTTAGCTCATTGTGGATTCGGTCTCTATTATTAAGGTCCTGATTTGGCAGTTCCACCTCCATCTGTTTATGGTTTATTCTAGACTTTAGGTCCCCAAACCGTGACGAACTTCAAGCTGGCAGGCTTACGTCCACACCCTTGCACCCACTCACCCCATTCAGAAATATTTGAAGGTTTGTTGTACTTCCATTCCCAATTGATAATACATTTACAGTCATCGTTTCCAGTCCACATGTTTTCAAACCAAAAGTCCTATTGGCTCTCCTTGCTTTCAAATTTGGCAGATGGAATATAAATAAAAGAGGCAAATGATACGAGGTAGATTATATTAAGTGATTTTCTCGCAATGAAGGAAACATGGACAAGAATAATTCGTTACACAATCCTCAATCAAGCCTTTCAAGAATAACGTCTTCATCCACCTTTCGAGACCATGAAAGCCTATGACCTTCCATGGGGACTCCCTGAAACTACAAAATTCAACAACCTCTTTGAAATGGTCTATCTTCTATGATGGTCTTTGGCTTCCTCCTTGCTTTTCGTCCTCCGCCAAAAGCTCCTTGAAGTCTCCTGCACATAACCAAGGTAATGAGCTTCTATCCCGTAGAGTTTTTAATAGCTCGCATGACTCATGCCTTCTATGAGTTTCTAGCCGTTCATAGAATCCCATAAACCTCTAGTCTCCATTGTTATTCTCTCCCTTTATTCTGACATGTATATGGCTAGTAGATAAGGAAAGTAACGTACTGTCCGTTTCATCCTTCCACGTAAGGGCCAAGCCGTCCCTTCTACTTTCACAATCCACTACAATCACATTATCAAATTCCATCTTATACCTCAACCAATTCATCTCATTTATTTTCTGTTTTGTTTTCGAAAGGAAAATAAATTGGGGTATATTTTCATTGACCAACTTGATCAGTTCAGGAACTGCATGAGGTGCCCCCAACCCCCGACAGTTCCATGCGAGGCAACTCATTTCTTTCAGCGGATTGGCATTCCTCACCAATCTCCGCCGATATTTTGTCTTCCTCATATACTTGGATCCCCTCGCCCAAATGCTCTTTAATCTTCTTATTCGCATGATCAGTTTCTATATCATTTATCATTTGGTCCATACATGCCGTTTCTTATTGATCTTACGAGGGAACCACCCTGGTTTCCTTTTATTAAGTTTTTCCCCTTGACCTTCCTCTATCTACTTTGGTTACTCGCCTCCATCACGGGGACCTCAGTTAACAAATTGCTTAGGCCTTAACTAATTGATTTCCGGATAGCATCCCATCCTCATTTGGGCTGTATGCTTCCTTACCCCATAAGATCAACTTTCTTATAATAAAGTTGACTAAAATGACCACCAAAAATCACATTTGAATCCCCTACATCATTTCTCCTTCTTTGCCCAAAACTATCATTATAATCACCAAATATTTAAATAGCGATCACGGTCATGTTTTTAGTTACGTCACATTTATCGTATTTTCGGATATAACAGATATTATTACAGTAATCGCGGTAATTATGATCATGAATTTTTTTTAATTTTACAAATTTTGGTTATAAAATGTAATAATTATAATTATAATTATAAAAATTCTTATTTAATGGTTTTTAAAATAGTTTATGATACTATGTTTTTTATTTTCTAAAAAAATTATTTACAATTTTATTTTGATTATAATAAAGCATTTATATTTGATTTAGCAACATAATATTTACTTGAGCCAAGTTCATATTCAAAATTAATTCTAGACAAATCAAAATATTAACCAAATATAATTCGTTAAATATCAAGCATCCAAATGTAATAAAATTACAAACTTAAAAATATAATAATTTCAAATTTCATCAACTGTAGTTATAAATTAATAAGAATTAATCTAATAACAAAAGAAATGACAACAATATAAATACCAAAATAACAAAAAAAAATTATTAAATTTCAAATACAAAATCATAAATTAATAAAAAAAACAAAATCAAATTATAATATTTAATTTTAATTATTTTTCATCTAACTTATACAAAAAATTTTATAAAAATTTTTCATCTAAAATCCATATATATATAATTTCAAAAATTATAAAATTTCAAACTTATATTTTAATAAAATTAATTACAAAATTAAATAAATAAAAACCCACTAACCCACCTTAACCCATCTCACCCCACCCGACCCCACCCCACTCAGAATCCAAGCATCCCCCTCAATAGTAGGTAGCCCCCTCCCCCAAAATTTCCCCCAAATTTTGATAACCAGCAAAGCTGAAACCTTCGTCCTCAACTCTTCTTCGTGTCTTCTTCTTCTTCCTTTTTTTTTTTCTGCATTTGTCACTTTCTCTTGCGTACCCTCATCAATGTCATTCCCTATAAAATCTCTTGATCTCATTTCTCTCATATTATTATAAAGATCAACATTATTTTACAAAAAATTTACTAAAAAAAAAAAAGAAAATTTAACTTTTTCTTATATTCTGCGATTTTGATTGTTGATTCAAGACTTAAGATGGATTTGAATTTGAGTAATTTGTGGATTGAGTTAGGATTATTATCGATTGAAGTTTTTCTTTTTTTCTAATTTGAACCAGTGACTAAGAAAACGGGAATAATGATAATAACGGTCCATTATTGCCTCTATTTCTCGTTACATCATTTTTCAGTAGTTGTTACATACTATTTTAAGTGTGATTCAATTTCTCAATCGTATTTTCTCTGATAGTGGTGGCGGGTGGTGGTGTTGCCACAATTTCGTGACTGCTATTCCACCATACAACCGCTATTTGAAACCCTAATCATCACTTGTGTTCTTAGCATGAATCTCGCCAGATAATTCTTTCCTCAAACCAATCTCCGTGGAAAAGTCCATTGTGCCCTTTCCTGCGCGTCCGAGACTCCTATTCTGGTCACTTTGCTCCTTAGTTTTCGATGCTGAACTCTTGCATTCGTTCCTCTGCACCGAGCGACCCAAAAGTCTTCTTCAAGTAATTGTGACTAGGGTTTGAACTTTTAGTTTTAGAAGACCATGGTTTGAACTCTTCAGCCCTCATCCAGGAACCATACTCCCACTTAACCTTTTTTGATGCTTTCCTATTCTGAACGGCCACAACGCATTCATTCTCCATATGATCCAACTTACCACACACGTAGTAGAAGTTTGGAAGCCTTTCGTATTTGTCCATCACCATATGACCTCCCTCCTCTCCTAATAGTACTTTAGAGCATCTTAATAATAGCTTATGAACATTTATGTTAACTTTTATCCTTAAGAACCGCCCCCATATGCGTTATTGTTATCCCTGTGATCTACTTCTTCCACTTCGCCTATATTTCACCAAGCACGATGCCCATTTTTTCATTCATAAAACCTAAGGGGAGCCCGTTTGCTTGAACCCAGAAAGGACACCAGTCCATACAGATCGAATCAAGAGTGGCCAGTCCATTGAAATCTTTAAAACAATAAGCTCCCTGTTTCATAAACACCCTATCCATACTGATTGAATGGCCATGGCTGATTCACAAGCACCCTATCCCTTTCTCTCTGGTCTTTATATTGGAACAGAAAAGTTCTCTCCCCCCACCTTCTGAATAATCAATCCCTTATCTATTCTCCAAATTCTCGATAGAACTTTTTTCATGGCTTCTACGTTGATCCCCCTCTTCGATAGACTCCTGCCCAACAAACAAATTTCCCCCGCTTCTAGAGTAGGCGCCACCCACTCCTTCTCAATCCTCAACTCTTGTTCTTCTTCCTCTATTAGTAATAGATTTCTCCACATCTCCTCAATGTTCTCCGTCATTGCTACTTTCAAGATCGACTACCCTTTCCAATTACTGTTGTATCAGAGGACCTTCCGATCCTTCAAGGGCTTACAAAAAAACTTTCACACCACCAATCCATCAAAATATATATCTATATATATATATATATATATATATATGTATGTATATATTCACCACAAAAGGCAGATAAAAAACTCGCCAAAACAAGACAAAACTCTCGCTAGAGAACCTAGGCAGAAAACCTAGAAGCGAAACCTAGGAGAGACCCCGATATCATTTATGAAAAAGATTTAATTTTTTTTTTCATTAATTTTTTCTTTTTTCTTTGTTTTTATATTATGGTCAATAAGATGAAAACTATTTCCTTCCTATTAATTTTTCAATCTAACATTTCCTTTCAGATAATTAATAAAATTTGTGATAAAATGCATCTTTTTCTAATTTCCCTTAGAAATTTTAATAAGATGCCATTTTGGTGATTAACTTACATGCAGAGATGAATTAACTTTTCTACTAGGTAAAACATATTAGTCAAAAAATATCATATTTTTATTTTAATTAATTTATAATTACTAATATATTTAACTTCTAAAAAAGTAAAATTTTAAGTTTTTCTTTATTAAAAATAATTTTTTTATAATAATTTATTTCATGTGATAAAAGTTTTCAAATTAGCATGCTACGTCATAAACTAAAAATCATTAAGTCAAATTTAATTGTAGAAGTTCAATATCACTCTTATCAATTGTTCGTTCTTGAATCATTTTTTTTTTCATAAAAGTATGTGATTAAATTCACTAAAATTAAAGCACAAGAATCAAAATCGAGAAATCAAATTTA